GGACATTTATAGGCTGGAAAATAGGTGATGGCAGCCACCAGCAGATTCATGATGCCACAGGAGGGTGAGAAGTGGGAAGAATATTGGATTTCCATAGTTCATGCATTTTCAGGTGCCAGTGCTTGGTCCAAACACCTGCACAGCACAGGAAAGCTCTCATCAATCCCTCAATATGCGGCGGCGATTCAGCTCATTTTTGAAGTTGACAAACATCCAGGAGCTGTCCTTAGCAATAGCTACTGCAATAACTATAATTTCATTTCCCTGTATTCCCCCCGCATCTCAAAAAAAAAAAAAAAGATAAATCCTTCCTTAACACCCAGGTTTTCCCCATCTGAGGAGCACTCCCAAAACACAAGAAACCCTCTTCCCATGTGGTGCACGGCAGACACCTCCCGCGGCCAGACAGCAACGTTCGCATCCAAGTGTGGAAAGCTTTCTCTCTAGTTCCACACTCTGCCAAACCCGAACCACGTTGCTGAAGTGGGAGAACACCTTCCTACTTCTTCGGGGAAGACCGGGGAATTTGTGCAGATCCCGGGTTACTTGGAGGCGGCGTTTCTCAAGAAAGACAACCGAGGAAGCTCAGAGCAGCAACTCTTTCAATGCTAAGGAGATTAGGACAACAGCCCAGCGAATCAGCAATCCCAACGCACCACATCAATACGCTTTTGCCCACGGCTGTCACTTCGAGGAGAGTTTGCTACAAAAACGACGTGGCGGTTATCTTGTTCACTTGCAGGAATGCAAGCGTTGAGATGCAGGGAAAAAGCAGCAAGACAGGAGCCGCAGGCTTTGCGGAGGCGAAGCCAGCCCTGCTCACTGAGCAGGGACCACCACATGGGTGAAATCTGGCCAGAAACCACCCCAGTGCTGAAACGTTGGCCAAGAAACTGGTTTGAGAAAACACAAAATATGCTAACAGCCCAGAGACACTGCCCGTTGCTGTAAGGTGGGTGGTGTACTGAATGCTGAACATCAGGACATCCAGACAAAGGCAGGCGTGGGTAGGTACCAGATTAACCCACCACCCAGGGAGAAGCTATTTTGGGTCACCACACCATTCACATCACATGCTGACAGCTGGGACAGCCACAAGGATGTTGCATAATGGCTCCTTTTGCCTTCCATACACACTTGACAGCATCCCGCAGAGGAACGCCACAGCCGGGAACCACATGTGGTATGAGGAGACGGAGCAGCACGCTGGGAGAGGAGCAATAGCAACCCAAGTCCACCAGAAAGTACACATCACTAGCTTTGAGCTCCTGTATGTGCCCTTGGACAAACAACGTCCCCAACTCCTTAGCACCCCTAAAGACAAAATCAGTATCCACATGGCAAACAGCATTTGTGAGGTTCAACAGCAACACTTGCGAAGATCAGAAGGACAGGGATAAGGAGAAAATGCAACAAGATCTAGCAAGAGCCTGGGCACAATAAGGGCATCAACACATGGATGTTACACCTCCATTTGCTTTAGCAAACAAAGGTATCTTTTATATATAGTTGTGTGCATGCATATGTTTTTTTATGCACTGATATAAACACAATTTTTCCAATCACCGTGCCTCTACCTGAAAGCACAAATGACCAGTCGGAGACAAGAAGAAAGAAAATCACTTGGTCATACAAGAGAAGTTTGAGCACTGAAGCTGATGCTCACTGCTCCCACCCGGACACAAATCCAAGCACAGGCTGAGCCTCAGTCAACCTCTTACTTGCATCACTTGAATGGCTGAAGCATGGGTCAGGCCAGTTGAACAACATCCCCAGGGAGGACTCGCTGGTGCACTTAGCGTGGAGTGGCCTCTCCAGACCTCAGCAGCCTCTGGCAAACACTTGGCCACGTGGATGAAGCGGGCTGGGGCCAGGGAGCACGCTGTGCTTGCACCCTGTACACCCCTCCCAGCAAAAGTGCCTTGACCAGCGCTCGCTCAACGCAGATCCCAGGCGGGGAGAATCAAGGAGCTAAAAACAACTCCGCTACCGGGACTTTAAGGGTATCAGGAGGTGAATAACAGCAAATCTGTACAGGAAGAGATATGGCCTCTCTGCTGCAAGAGATGTCCTTCTGTAGCTTTGCTCCCAAAGGACCAACATGTGGCTACCAAACAGCAAGGCTTTCAAGAGCATCCCATACCCAACCTGCAGCTGGGGTGGTGAAACACTGGCCCAGGTTGCCCAGAGAGGTGGTGGATGCCCCATCCCTGGAAACATTCAAGGTCAGGTTGGACGGGGCTCTGAGCAACCTGATCTAGTTGAAGATGACCCTCCCCAAACAGTTCCCACCCACTTTCCTCATCCTCATCATGCAGCATGTACACAGGCAGAGCGCCAGACCCATGGTACACACAGAGTGAGGAGAGGGTGATCAGCAAGTGTCCAAGAACACAAAGACACCACAGCAACAGTTACAAAGTTGGACAGGTCAACAAAACAACAGGGGCCAACACGCTGTCAACACAGCCGGGGACCATCACGGCAGCTGGTGGAAGACAAATATCTTGACCCCGGCTTGGCTGACACCATCAACACATCTCTCAAAGCGCGAAGGGACTTTCACATTCATCACGTTTGGCATTCTTCATAATTCACACCACCAACAGGCTCGTGACTCCAGGTCCAGCAAGAGCAAGACAGGTCAGAGATACAGAGATGGCACAACAGCTATCTCCCCCCTCACTGCTAAAACCATCAGCCCCACCACCTGGTCGACTACACCTTTCTAACACCTTGGTCTAGGCAGCTCCCAGAGGCCATATTCCCACACAGCTGGTCCTTTCTGCCACACAGAAGAAACTGCATGTCAAAGCAAGAGATGGAAAGGGAAAGCTATAAAGCTGAGAAAAGACGCCTTCAGCAAAATTTGTTTTAAGGCACGACTAGCTCATATTGAAAGCCAAATCCTCTAGTTTTCAGCCCAGATCCTTGTAGGAGGACAATTTATATTATCTCTCCCCAGCAAAAGTGGTGCTGGGGGACTATTCAGGACAGCAATAACACCACTAATGCTCTTTAGTCAGTACTGCTGCAAGGTGATCCAGGGGCAATGAGCACTGATATTTAAGGAAACATCACCTGTACCAAAATGGGCACCCATCCCACTGATTCAGCAACGGTGCTGCCGCAGGTAACATGAAAATTACACGAAGCTCTGCTCTCTCCCCATATACAAGCCTTGCAGGTGATGAATCAAGAGCTGCTGTCTCAAGGGACACCATGGAAGAGTCATGTAAATCCACAGCTGCTCCCTACACCTCCAAGTGGAGGTAAATCAGATGGGAGGGAAAATGAAAGAATAGTCCTGGGAAAAGCCAATGGAGCTTGGCTTCAGCCGTCCTGGCCAAGAACAGATTTGCTGCTTGTGAATCTGCTGCTGGAGCAGATGGCAAGTCCCCCGAGAGTGGACCAGTCCACTGAGCATCCAGGGAATGCATGCACATCCCACCAGCGTGGCATGGGACCAGCACTCCCCTGCTTGCCTTTCAACACTGCACAGGAGACCAACAAGGCTTTACTCACCCTGGCAAGAGTTTCCAAGAGGAGGAGTATGACGTTAAACCTGAAGACCTACAGAACAACGTGGTCCTCAGTGATTTCAGGGAATTTGGGGACAGACTTCTTAGTAGGGCGTGTAGTGACAGAACAAGGGGGAATGGTTTTAAACTAAAAGAGGGTAGATTAAGACTAGATATAAGGAAGAAATTTTTTATGCTGAGGATGGCGAAACACTGGCACAGGTTGCCAGAGAGGTAGTAGATGCCCCATCCCTGGAAACATTCAAGGTCAGGTTGGACGGGGCTCTGAGCAACCTTATCTAGTTGAAGATGTCCCT